GCGGGAAGCGGAAGTGACAAAAGGAAGTGCTTAAGGCGCATGCGCCCCCCTATCAGTTCCACTTCCCTCTCAAGCCGCGGAACTCCCCGAACATCCGGGCACTTTCACTCGTTCTTCTCCCCCTCCCTCCTGACTGACCACGCCCCTAACATCCGGGCATTTCCCCCCTTTCCTGAGTGGCCGTGACACCGCCCCCAACATAGGGGCATTTTCACGCTCCTCTCCTTCGCCACCGAGTAGCCCCGCTGCCTGCTGCATGGTCCCGCCCCAACATCCGGGCACTTTCGCGTTCCCACCTCCTATTGGGTAGCCTCGCCCCACCCTTCTCGCGGGCATGTTCCTTTTCTCGCTACTTTGTGTTGCTGGCGGGGCCTCTTAGTAGTGCAGCCCAGTATGCCATTAGCCTTCTTGGCAACCAGGGGAGACTGCTGGCTCCTGTTTAGCGTATTATCTGCTGTAACCCCCAGGGCCTTTTCTGCAGGGTTGCTGCTTGCCAGTTGGTCCCCAGCCTGTACTGGTGCATGGGACCTCATACAGTCCAGCCCCTGTTTAAAGCAGGCCTACCCCAACCAGACCACTCCCTTCCTGTAGTGGGGGCCCCAAAACGGGTCAGTACTCCAGATACGGCCTCACCCGTGCTGTATAGAGGTGAAGAATCACTCCCCTTGCTATCCTAGCATAACCTTCACAATGTTAAATGGCAGAGAAAGTCAATGGAGATTTGTCATTTGCTCTTGCCATATAAGAACTAAGGGTCACAAATTGCACCAAGGAGGTAGTCAGCTTCAAGCTAACACGAGGCATGCCGTGCGTCATTTGAGCGTGGACCTCACTGCCACCAGATGTGGAAGCTGCCAGTTTCACCGAATACAAACAGGGATTGGATAAATTCCAATCTAGTAGTGAGCAGTCACTATTGAGCGTAGGAGCTAGGAATACAGCCTCTGAATTACAACTTCCTAGACCTTTGCTGTTGGAGGCTGCAAGTGAGAGAGGAGCAGTGGAAACTGGCCATCTGTTCACTCCCCCTTTCAGCATCTGCTCTCTGTCACTGTGTGACCGAGGGTCTGACCCGGTCAATGGCAACTCTTACGTTTTGCCATAGGCAGTCCCTGCGCAGAGTTCAGAGCCAGGGGAGCCAGAGGGATAGGTGATGAGATGACTGAATGTAGTCAGGATGCTGGTGCAGGCTATAGGGATTTAGATGTCATCCTCTACCCACCAGGTTTCTTGCCATGGAAACCAACCATTTCAACCTGGGGAACTCCCTACTTGAGAGCACGGAGGCAGAAAGAG